TACTTATTTTTGCCATTTTTGTTTAGTGTGGTTCTATTTTTCTCCCTATTTTTTCTACTAATTACAGCAGTCCTGTTAGCTTATCTTGCAGTGCTGCTTTGGTGTTAATATATTCCCTTAGCCTTTTTTTTTTTTTTTTTTTTTTTGTCTGGAAAGCTCTTTATTTGACCTTCTATTTTGAATGATAGCCTTGCTGGATAGAGTAGTCTTGGATTCAGATCCTTGCTTTTCATGACCTTGATTACTTCATGCCACTCCCTTCTGGCCTGTAGTGTTTCTGTTGAGAAGTCAGCTGAGAGCCTTAAGCAATTTCCTTTGTAGGTAACCTGTTGCTTATCTCTTGCTGCCTTTAGGATTCTCTCTTTGTCTTTAATTTTTGGCATTTTAATTACTATGTGTCTTGGTGTGGGCCTGTTTGTGTTCTTCTTACTTGGGGCTCTCTGTGCTTCTTGAACTTGAATGCCTTCTTCCTTCACCAAGTTAGGAAAGCTTTCTGTCATTATTTCTTTAAATATATTCCCTAACCCTTGCCCATTTTCTTCCTCTTCGGGGACTGCTATGATGCGAATGTTATTCCATTTCCAGTTGTTCCATAGTTCTGTTAAGCTGTCTTCCTGTATTTTAATTTTTTCCTTTTGGTTTTCTGACTGGTTGATTTTATCTACCCTGTCTTCTAATACACTGATCTGTTCCTCAGCTTCCTGTACTCTGCTGGTTAGTCCTTCCAATGTGTTCTTAATTTCTGCTATGTCATTCTTCATTTCCACTTGGTTGGTTTTCAATGTTTCTGTATCTTTACTCATGGTGCTGATGTCCTTACTCATGCTGTTGAGCTTTCTCTAGATCATGGCTCTGAACTCCACCTCTGATGATTTGCTTAGCTGCATTTCATTTATCTCATCTTTGATAGAGTTCTCTTGTTCTTTCATTTGGGATTTGTTCTTTTGTCTCACCATTTTGGTTATCTCAATGGGTTTTGGATCCTGCCAAATTTTCCCTGTGGGTGTTGATGTTCTGCTGTTTGTTGCTCCCTCTACTGGGTTTTGATGAGCCTGGTGGTCCATGTTAAACACCACAGTCAAATCTTACTTTCCTGGGTAGATTTTTAAGCCCAGGAAGGGTTCAGTTATCCTCTACCTTTTTCCCAGTGGCTAGTAGTCTCAGTGACTCAGTGCCTTGAAATGTAGCCCTGGTGTTCTGCATAAGGACATTTCCAGAGAGTGGAATAGATGCTGGTTAGTAATGAGCCTTAATTTGCATTTCTTTGCCTCACCTGGTAGTTTGTATCTTGGGGGTGGGGGTGGGGGTGGGGGAGGGGCTGCTGCTTTTTTCCACAGCTCTGGGAAGGAGCACACTGGCCATTGTCCTTTGTAGCTGCAACTCAGAAAAAAGTCTGGGTGCCCTCCAAATCCCAGGTGTCTCCACAGAGTTCCAGCCCAGTCTGCCCTTCCTCTGTCTTAGCCCCAGTGAGTGCCTGTGGCTATTTTAGTGCTCTGTCCCAGCTCTCTGCACTGTGGAGCGGGTTTGGACTTTATTCCGCAAAGGCACTGCTCACAGCTAAGGCTGCTGCTGTCTGTGGGCTCCCAGCCCACCACCCTCTCCACCTCTGCAGTTCCTACCAGTGTCCCTGGTTATATGGTCCTGTCCTGCTGCTTTTCTGTTGCTTTTTTCCAAGGATTTGTCTTTAGTTGTAATTCCCGCTTGTTCCTGGGAGATCATCTGTGTAGCTTCTATTCACTCCGCCTCCATTTTCACATCCCCAAACACCATTTATTGAAGAGTCTATCTTTTTTTGTTTGTTTGTTAATCCTCACTCGAGAATATTTTTCCATTTATTTTTTAGATAGAATGCAAGGGAGGGACGGAGGGAGAAAAAGAGAAACATCAAAGTGAGAAAGACACAACAATTGGTGCCTCCCACACAAACCTGACTGGGGCTGAGGATTGAACCTGCAACCCAAGCACATGCCTTTGACCTGGAATCTAACCTGTGTCTCTTTGGTCCAAGGGCTGCTGCTCTAACCATGAGCCAAACTGGCCAGGGCTGAAAAGACAATATTATTCCATTATATGCTCTTGCCTCCTTTTTCAAACATTACTTGAGCATAATGTCTTGAATTGATTTCTGGGTTCTCTGTTCTGTTCCATTGATCTATGCCTGTTCTTGTGCCAGTACCAGGCTGTTTTGATGACAATGGCTTTGTAGTATAACCTGATATCCAGCATTGTTATCCCTCCAACTTGGTTCTTCTTTTTCAAGATTGCTGTGGCTACTGGGGGTCTTTTTTGGTTCCATATAAACTTGTGGAGTATTTGTTTTAGATCTGTGCAATATGCCATTGGTATTTTAATAGAGATTGCATTGAATCTGTAGATTGCTGTGAGTAGTATGGACATTTTAATGATGTTGATTCTTACAATCCATGAACATGGTATATGCTTCCACTTTCTATATCTTCCTCTATTTCTTTTTTCAATATCCTGTTTTCTGAGAACAGGTCTTTTACCTCCTTAGTTGAGTTTTCATTCTCTTCATGTTTTTATGTAGTTTCTAAACTTTCAGCAAAGAATATAAATTTTAGAACAGCAAAAAATATATATTAAAAAATATTATTAGTGAAATGAAATGGAGAAAATCTAATTTTTCCCAGCAGTATTATCTCTCCCTAGGAAGAAGCTCGCCTTTGTTGTATGAATATTTGAGTGGGGGTGGGGGTGGTGAGATCTCCAAGGGCCTGATTAGATGGTTGAACTGCAATCCCCCTCCTCCCCCCTGCTTCAGGTCTTAGGGTCATAGCTCTTCTTTCCCTCTGACTCCCTAGAGAAAACCAATCACTCCCCTCCTGATTCTACCTTCAGTATCATTAGTCGCCTCATTAGGGTTAGATCCCAGAAGATACCAAAGGGAGAGTCAAAAGTCCCAAAAGAAATAAAAATAATGTGATTTTATATAAAAGCAAAATCTAGAAAAGATTTATAGAATAGATTTTTTTAAATTGAAGTAAAATTCACATAAATAAAATTAACTATCTTGATGTGTACAGTTCACTGGTATTTGGTATGTTCAAAATGTTGGTGTAACCACCACTCTATCTAGTTCCTAAACAGTCTATGACCACAAAAGCCACATACCCTTTTAGCAGTCAGTCTCCATTCCTCCTTTCCTGGGACCATGCAATTTGTCCCTTGTCTTCATGGGTTAGATTTGTCTAGTGTAGACATTTCATATAAATGAAATCATACAATATGTGATCTTTTCTGTTTGGTTTCTTTCACTCAGCATCATATTTTCAAGGTGCATCTGTGTTGCAGTGTGTGCAAGTGCTTCGTTCCTTTTCATTGCTGAATAATATTCCATTACATGAATATACCATATCTGGGGAAATTTCTGTTGTTTCCACCTTTTGGCTTTTCAATAGTGCTGCTATGAACATTCATGTACAAGGATCTGTTTGAGTTCTTGTTTTCAGTTCTTTTGGATCTATAACTAGCAGTGCACTTGCTGAGGCATATAACCATTCTGTGTTTAATGTTTTGAGGAATTTCCAAATAGCAGCTGCACCATTTTACATTACACAAGCAATATGTGAGGGTTCCCAATTCTCCACATCTTCATCAACACTTACAATTTTCCATTTTTTAAAATATAATCATCTTAGTGGGTGAGAAATGATATTGGGACTGGAATTTGAGGATGATCACCCAAGGGAGACAGAACATATTTTCAGATAGGTCTGAATCCATCCACGGGGAGGCATGGCTAGCTTTGGTTCTAGCACAGTGCTAGGAAACCAACTGTTAATAACAACAAACCTATACACGACCCTGATTTGTAGCATTTCTGATTTCCATGGTGTAAATTCTTCTACAAGAGCTGATTTCAAGTTACTAATTGTTTAACAATCAGTTAATAAAATTCCAAACAATTTAACCACTGGCCTCTATAAGCTGGTGAGAGTCATTGCCCTTCACCACCATTGGCTTTAAGCATGTGTGAGGAGGATGCAGATTTACCTGGATGTTATCTCAGATCCTAGATGCCAGCAATGCCCAAAAGAGAGACTCAGGCTGCCCTGGTTGAACGACCGAGCCAATAAAAGTCATTTCCATCCTTGAGAACAGTCAGTAAAAGTAGTTTCTGAACCTCTGAAACCAGGTCCAGGCTCTCAGCCAGAGTATTCCACAGAGGCACTAACACCACTCAGGGCTTGTCTGAGCAGCTGATCATGTGTCTACTATTACTGATGCTGCCCCAGGCTGCAAAATGCACACCAGCACAAGAAGCAGGGATGTGCACAGTCAATGAGACTGCAGATGCACCTGACATGGAGGGGCGCCATAGCTTTTGACAAGTTTTCCAGGTGTTTATGCCAGAGTGGTCATTTTAGAAACTGTCACACACATATTTTTGTATTTAAAATCTTAATTCAAGGGTACTTTGTTTATGTAACACCCTTCGAACACAAATTTAAATATCCTTTTATTTAAATTTTTTAAATATAATTCTCATTAAAATTCGGTAATGTTGAAGTCTGAGTAGAATAGTAGGGAGTGTTCTCAAGTATAGCATATGGTCAAATGCCCTATTATAAACATGGAAGAAAATAACTGGTCATCACAACACAGTTATCTTGTTGCTGACAATTTTTTTTTAAATCCTCACTGGAGGATATTTTTCTATTTATCCCCAGATAGAGTGGGAGGGAGGGAGACAGAGAGAGAGAGAGAGAAACATCAATGGGAGAGATACATTGACTGGTCGCCTCCTGCACGACCCCAACCAGGGCCGGGGACCAAACTGCAACCGAGGTATATGCCCTTGACCAGAATTGAACCTGAGACTCATTGGTCTACGGGCTGACGCTCTAACCGCTGGGCCAAAATGGCCAGGGTTTGTTACTGAAAATTTATGTATCTAGGTAATTGTAACATCAGCTCTGTATCCAAATCTGAAATAGCATTAGAGAAGAACAAATTCAAATGCATTTCCTTATGCTTACCTGCAATTATTCTGCAATACCTCTTCTCTAACTCTTAAAAATTCCTCCGAGTTCTGTTCCACATGTTCAATCTTGCATCTCAAAGCTCGATATTTGGCAAGAGATGGCGGGTTGGGTTTGGACAGATTAGTTTCACAGACATTAACCATGTCTCTTATTAGCTGTGGATGGAAAGGATACACAGACATTAGAATTACCACCTATGCAAATATCATGTTACACTTTTTCAAAAAGGTTTGAAAAATAAGCTCTATTCTCCGAAGCTTTTGATCAATATCTGCCTGTACTGTAAGTGGCAAATTAAAGGTAATAGTTACCTCAGTGAAAGCAAACTGCATGATGATAATAACAGTGTACATGAGGATAACACTTCATTGTTCACAAAGTATTTTCAGGTACATTATTCCTGTAACCTACACTACAACACTGGACTTATTATTGTTAGATCTTATTGCCCTCATTGTATAGCTGAAGAAAGTGAGGCTCTGAGAAGTTAAAAAAATTGCTCAAAATCCCACAGTGAGGAAGGGATAGTGGCAAAACAGGAACTCAGCCCACAGACTCAGATCCAAAGGTCAATTCTGCTTAACAAAATGCACTAAGTATGTTCTGTATGCCAGGCATTGTATTAGATTCAAAAGATTCAAAAATGCATAAGACACAGGCCCCTTCCCCAAGCAAAAAGCCAAGAGGATTACTATACTCATAGGCCATGAAGTTTAAGAAGGGAACACAGCTCCTGCATGCTCTGAATTAGGGTTAACAGAGGAATGTGTTGCCTTTAGTATTGTTGAGACTAAGGGCTATCAAAGGAGAGCAGCAGGCATTCTGCCCCACGTGTCTTCGTGATGAAGGGGAGGGGCTTCCAATCACAATTCAGATCCACCAGCCATGAAATAAGGGATTGGGAAGTTCAAATCGCCACTTACGAACAGCCACAGGATGTCAAGTAGAACACAGGGAATATAGTCAATAATAGTATTATAACCATGTATGGTGCCAGGTGGACACCTGACTTATCGTGTGATGACCCAGTAAGTTATACAAGTCTAATCACTATGTTGTGCACCTGAAACTAATACAATATTATATGGCAATGGTAACTGAAAAATACATTTTTAGAAAATTGATGCATTTTTCTAAATAAAAGTAAAAACTTTGTGTGGTAAAAAAGAACAAAGTAACCACCACCCACAAATTCACCATAACCAAAGTAAAATAACCAAAGAACTACAGACAATATTCACAACTCACATCAAAGACAAAGCTCCTCAACTTATAAAGAGAACCTAAACTCATGAAGAAAATGACTAACACCGAAGAGTAAAAAAAGCAAAGGCCATGAGTAGACAGTTCACAGAAAAAGAAACACGAATGTCCCTTAACCATTTGAAAAGAGGCTCAGGCTACCACCTGGAGGGACCACTTCTTATCCACAGATTGGTAAGGTCTAACACTGACCAATACACTGTTGGTACAGATATAGGAAATAGAAACTCATGCACTGGTGGTGGGAGGCTGACTCATCAAAGTCTATCAGTCACATCCGTAAAGCCAGCGCTCTGACTGCGGGGGCCGTAGCCCAGAGAGACCCCTGCACAAGTAGGAGATGACAAACATACAAGGGTACTCACTGTGGTTGTGATGGCAAAGTCCAGAAATAATCAAAATGTGTGGAGCTAGGGAAAACCCACCCACGTGGCACCCCCCAGTGGAATACTCCAAGGATAATCTCTGTGTACAGGGTATAGTGCATGAGGGGAGTAGGTGCAGAATGGCAAAAGTAGTTCACTACTTTTATATAAAAACAGAGGGGAGAATTAGTATTATTATTATTACTTATTGTTATAAATATTATTCTACCATCTATTTTTACATAAAGTAATATGCTATGTTCTTATTCATATTGATTTGCATAAAGAAACTGCAGAGACAAACAGGAATCTAGTAGAAATGGTTATCTATCAGGGTGGGGAGTGGGAAGAGGTTTGAGGGGATGGTGTGGAATAGAAATGTTCTGAGTATACTTTTGTAGTATAATTTTAACTTTTAAATTACGCAGATATCGTATCTATTGAAAATATAAAATTTAAATTAAAAAGTATCTGCATGGGCAGCATAGGTGTCCTCTGCAGCAAAACCAGCGACTGAGGCTCTCCATGCCAGATGTGAGACGAATCATGTGACTCAGCTGGAAGGGTCCTGTCATCTCATCCACTGGCTCATCTCATTTGTTCATTCCTCACTTATTTTGGATTACTGACTCCTCTGAGAACCCGTTCAAAGCTATACTTTCCCCCAAATGTGCAAAATTTCACATCTACCAATGCCTCTGAAATCTAGGTCATGCATCTCTGACCTTGTCCCAATGCCTTCATGCATAAATAAGGCAACTCAGAGCCAGAGAGCGACCTGCATCTCAGCCAAGATGGGGTGGACACTATGGCTGCCTTCCTGCCTTCCTCTTTGCTAACTGAGCCCTGCTCCTCCCCCAACAGTTCAAGGAAGATGAGCCATTTCCAAGCAGTCACAGTAACTTTTCTGGCCAGGGACATCCCCCCACTCCCACCCCAGGAATGCACATAACTCAATTCTGACCAAAGAAATAAAAGTCTGCCAGGGGCTTCCTCTAAGAGACACCAAAAAACATATTCCTTGCCCTGGACAGTTTGCTAAGTGGTTAGAGCGTTGGCCCACAGACCAAAGAGTCACAGGTTCCATTCTGGTCAAAGGCATGGACCTCGGTTGCAGTTTGGACCCAGCCCTGCCTGGTCCAGGTCGTGCGGGAGGCAACCAATTGATATGTCTCTCACATTGATGATTCATTTTCTCTCTCTCTCTCTCTCTCCTCCCCACCCCACTCTCTCCCACTCTATCTAAAGATAAATGGAAAAATGTCCTCAGGTGAGGATTTTTTAAAAAATCAACATATTCCAGGTGGGATGCTATGAACTACTACAGCTGTGAGCTGATGGCACAGTGAGCAGGCAAGGGAAGCCGTCCCATTACAGGTAGGTCAGAGATGTACCTTGGGGTGAACTGGATCAGCAGTCACCCTGCATCTGGACTTCTTGTTATATGAGGGGATAATATTCTCATTGTTCAAGTCAGCTGCAACTTTCTGTTTCTTTGCAGAAAGAATCCTAACTCATCTGACCTGGAACATTATTTTACAGGGTAGCAATTCTAAACACACTTGCAGCTGTGCTGCTACTCCAACACATTCCAGTTTGGGAATATGGTTCAGATGACTTCCATGAGGACCCAAATCATTCTGAAATGGCTCAGCAATTTATTTTTTGAGCAAACTCTAGAGATAGCTTCTGTGAGTCAGTGTTACCTTATTTTTTGGGTCACAAAAGACCTCTCTCCCAACATACTTTACTTTTATTTTGTTAATCCTCACTGAAGGACATGATCAGAGAGGGGAAGGGAGACAGAGAGAGAGAAACGTTGATGTGAGAGAGAAACATCCGTCAGGTGCCATCTCCATGCACCATAACCAGGGATCAAACCCCCAACCCAGGTACATGCTACGACCAGGAACTGAACCGACAACACTTTCGTGCCCTTCTGTGCCACGGATGATGATCCAACCAACTGAGCCATTCTGGTCAAGCTCCCCCAACATATATATTTTTAATTTTTTAAATATGGTTTTGTTGATTTTTCAGAGAAAGAGAAACATCGATGTGAGAAAGAAACTTGATCGTCTGTTTCTTGCACGCTGATGTTTCTCATGGATCGTCATCCGTGGCACTGAAGGGCACGAAAGTGTTGTTGGTTCAGTTCCTGGTCGTAGCACATACCTGGGTTAGGGGTTTGATCCCTGGGGATCAAGCCTACAACCAGGAATCCAACCACCAACCTTTGGGTTCATGGAATGACACCCAACTAACTGAGCCACACCGGCCAGGCTCCACCAACATGAAACTCTATATTCCAGAATTAAATACAATTCTATATTCCAGAGATTTACCTGGCAGAGGTCCTCTTTCTTGGCTAATAGTCTCAGGCTAACTTCTTCCATGGCTGTACCTCTGTGAGGTATTAATCTGTAGAACTCACTCATCATCTTTTGCAGTTGTTCTTCTGTCTCTCCATTTTTCAGGGCTGCCTTTACTAGGAGGAGAATCCCCTCTGCCCTGCTCACCTTTAAATAGAAGATGATGTATGCTTATTAAAATTAGATCTTGATAATCATAGAAAAAGTGAAGAAATAAAAATAGCTAAAACAGTTGTTAGACATGTTGCAACTGTTTTCTGCACAAGTCATAAAACAAATGCAATGTTTACTGGAGAAGTATCTTGGTTGTGATGATAATGCCATGAGTTTCCCCAAACAGGCCTGGGCTTAACTAGAGGAAAGAGCCAGAGTCTTCAATATCTATAATCTATATGTCTATATTTATATCTATATCCACAGAGAGAGGAATACTCATGCAATGTTAGGAGACTTGCTTTTCACAGAAGATATTTAGAAAGAGTCAGAATCAAATTAGGGGCAAAACCCACCAGAACATGTTTCAAATTACACAAGTACTCTTTGGATTTACCCCAAGAGATCTTTTTTTTCCCTGAAATAAATTCACTTAATTCCACAAAGGAAATATCTTATTATTTGACTATGACAACGTAGTTGCACAAGTTGGAACGTTGGGAGCCTTTTCTCTCATTTGCTCTTTCAACAGCATATACCTAAGAAGAGCGAGTTCTGGAGGGCTGGGAGCCTGCCTGCCTTTCCCTTGATGGTCAGAAGGTACCAGGCTCTGAAGCAGGAACTGCAGGGGCGATTAGGGTCTGAGTGTCTAACAGAAAACCAAGAGCGTCCACATGTCTCTCGGGCCTGCTGCAAACCTCTGGACCCAGAGGAACGGGCCTCCCAGTGAGCCAAACTTTGATCAGCTCTCGTGTCTGACATTTTACACGTGGGGATGTCTGGTTTTCTTAAAAGCTTACTCCCTCAGTGCTTTTGGTGTCCCCTGCTCCAGGACAAGAAGAAAGAACAGGAATGCATCCAAAGACAACCGAACCAGCACTCACACAGAAGTGGTACCTCTGAAGCTAAGAAACCAGGAGAGAGAGTTTGTCCGGTTGGAGGCTCTGTTTCAAGGACACAGGTAACTTACATCGTTAAGACTGATTCTGCTCAGGGACTGGAGGAGTGTGTGCTCCAGGTGGCCGAGCGCCTCTGCCCAAATCATCTCCACGAGATGGCTCACCTCTTGGCTCAGAGTGCTTGAATGTATTACCTCCTCCAAAAGCAACTGCAACAAAATGGCAAAACAATACCAACAGAAAGTGTTCAGCAGTAGGTTTATTTTAAATGGAGATGATCAGAAGCATGAGAAGAAATAGTGATAGCCCAGAGAGAGCCACCTGCACCCAAGTAACTTAATACTTGGGGCCTCCTCTTTCTGCTCAGCTCTCCCTCCACCCCTGCCCTCCACCTTTTCTCTGTTCCCCCTTCTCTCTTTAGTCCCATTTGATTTTCCCTTTTGCCTTTTTCTTCACCCTACCAGCTATAGGCCTGCTGACGGAATTAGAAGTTAAGGGTAATAAGGGTTAAGAACCTGACTCTTGGCCTAGGTTATAATGAAATCTTTTGAAAGCTGTGATGGTTTGTTACTGGAATAAGCCATAAGTTTGGGGGCTCATCCTGGAACTCACCCCTCTCTCAGCTTCCATGCCTTTCTGTGGGTTCACTGTTCCTTTTCCCAACTCCCATTCTACTCTCTTGCCAAGTTTTTATTTGCCATAAAGAAAACATTTCTCTTAAAAATATTCAACCAGTAACACAAAATAACATGGATAAATGAATCTTACTGCTTGCAATTTTTCTGATGCTAACTGGGTAGCTTCAGGGGTAAATGATTCTCTTCGTAGAAATCCTTGTCTCTCCAGGTCTTCTATGTAATTTTCATAGTACTCACTTGCATCTTCAGAGGTTTGCTTTACAGAGAATTGCTTTCTACGCTGTGAATATGGTATGTAGAAAAGTATAGAAAAAGGATATGAGGATACAGTAGCTTAGTATCAATATTTATTGAACAACTACTATGTACCAGGGGAACAGGAACATACAAGGCATTAGATCCCTGCTACTGTCAAGCAAGTCATGACATAGACCAACCTCTTCCCGGACTGGTGGCTACTGGACTGGTGGCTATAGGACACCTCTCAAACTTGGCAAAAAGAAGCATGTCATGTTCAAGTGACTTCACTTAAGAGGTAGAATTAAACATCATCTCCATTGAAATGGTTTAATAGAGGAAAAGGGCGAGATAGAAGAGTCTCTTCTGGAATAGCTCCTTCTCTGCTGGGTAAGTGAGGACATTTCTATCAAGGTGAACAGACTTGCAAAGGAGACTCAGGCTTTTGAAAGGAGGAAGTCACCAGCAACAGCTCTCTGTACAGAGAGCAGGAATGGACAGGTTGACCTGGGCAGCTTCACTGTTTTCTTTCTCAGTGAAGAAAAAAAAGTAATATATCCAGCATGGTTTTCAACATGATTTTTAGTTTTTACCTACACAACTAAATCCTCCACCAAATATAGTCTACGTTTTGGGGTAAAAGGTTAACAACAAAACCCTTTCTTCTTCTTGGACACATTTGGCCTTAGATTAAATTTTTATAGCTGTTCCCATGGAAACCTGAAAAGGGTGGAGTGTCAGCTGTTAATATTAGGCAAAATTGTTTGGGCAATAGTGACCTGTCATTAATCAATTGCATTGGGACTGGGAGTTCAATAAATGAACCACAAACAGAAGGTGGGAAACCTGCACCTTGGGCTCCCCTGGCAGCAGGGGCCCTGATAATGGGCACTTCCCTTAGGGCATCTCGACCCCAGGCCCCTTGTAAGAAGTATGGGCTCCTGTGGGTGGGCTTCTAAGCCAGGTGGATCTGTGCCCACCTGATGTTAGCCTCCTTCCTTGCCCAGAGCTGACCCTGCATGGGAGGAAAGCGAGCATGTCCACAGCCTGAGTGGACTGCTGGGAGGACCCCCACCCCTGCACAGCGCCTGCACCCCTGCTGTTTCCTGTCTGCATGCAGAATGTCTGGACAGAAAACAGCCTGGTGGTTTTGTAGCATTTTCTGGGAACTTTAGGTATTAGTTCTGAATTTAATTTTGTTTCACGACTGTTTCAGATTGGTCTCTGCAAAGCCTTCCTTGCTGCACAGAGCCTATAACAGTCCATAAACATTTCACTGCCACAGTGGGTTGAAATCATGAATGTGTTGTTTCCTCTCAGATGGTGATTTCTGAGGGGCAGGTATGAGTATGTTTTATCTTTGGGTTCAGTCTCTAGCACACAGCTGGGTCCCCAGGAGGGCTTGCTGAGGTGTGTGACCAGATTGTTTTGAGAGGCACATATATCAGTCAAGTTTCTCTAAGTGACTCAGAACAGGGGCTTCTCTGATGAGCCTCCTGTGCGGCTCTGGTCAAGGGGCACTGGGCTCACCTTGCTCCCCACACCGGCCACTTTCCAAAAGGGAATACATTTCCACTTTGAAGCCTATTGACCAGGCAAATGAGAAATATGAAGAGGTTGTCTGGTTCACTGGCCAGTGCTCAGGGCACCAGTTATGCACAGGGTGGATAAACACGGAATCCACATAAAGACCATTACCTCGGTGCCAGCGTGGGCGAGGAAGTGTGCGGCTATGAGGAAGGCGGGGTTCTCGGTGTCCTGGGAGCACTGCAATTCCACCACAGCGGTCTCCTGGCCTCCCTCCATCCCCACCTGGAAAAGAGCTTGTCTCCCATAAAGTGCATTCACTACACAACAAACTGCACATGTCATTTGAAAAGGTTGATGAGCCCTGGATGGACGGCTCAGTTGGTTGGAGCATCGCCCTGTGCACCAAAGGTTGCCAGTTTGATTCCTGGTCAGGGCACATGCCTGGGTTGTGGGTTGGATCCCTGGTCAGGCGCATACAAGAGGCAACCGATAGGTGTTTGTCTCTTTCTCATTCCCTTCCTCTCTCTAAAATCAATAAAACACATCCTCGGGTGAGGATTAAAAAAAAAAAAGCTTAAGTATAAAACTAGTATATGCTCATTTGGAAATGTAATGTAGAAAATACAGAAAGTGCCCAGCCAGTGTGGCTCAGTGGATTGAGCATCGTCCCATGCACCAAGAGGTCCTGGTTCAATTATCTGTCAGGTCAAGGCACATGCCTGGCTTGCAGGCTCAACCCCCAGTAGGGGGCGTGCCAGAGGCAGCCAATCAATGTTCTCTCATCGTTTTGCCTCTCTCTCTAAAAAATATATATTAAAAAAAAAGAATGTACAAAGAAAAAACAAAAATGATCTGAAATCGTACTACAGATATATAATCACTATTAATATTTCAGTATTTTTCCCTCCTATATTTTTACTATAGATACATCTGTATGTTAAACAGTACCGCTTTTCATATCTTCTTCATCACAGAAGGAATGTCATTTTCAAGTTACATTTTATTAAAATACCTAAAAAATACAAATGGAACATCATTTTGAATGCTAAAGTTAGCTTACATTTGTGTGATGTTGGAGAAAAAGTTTTTGTTTTTCTTTTAAATGAAAAGTATGGAAATACAAGTGCTGTAAATACTTCTGTCAAATCTACTCTTGAAGTATAAGAAACTGTTCAAAACAGAGAAGACCTTTATTTTATGTACTTATTTTTAATTGAGCCTAGAGAGAGAAAGGGAGGGAGAGTGAGAGAGAGAGAAATTGATGTGAGAGAGAAACAACGATGAGTTGCCTCCCTGGGATCAAACCCGCAACCTGGGTATTTGCCATGACCGGGAATTGAACTCATCACTGCTTGGTGTATGGAATCATGCTCCAACCAACCAAGCCACATCAGACAGGGTGGGGCATTTATTTAATATATCATATTAATACTTTGTACCATTTACTTTTATTATGAGCAGGTATTACTTTTACAACAATTATGAGCAATTTTACACTAAAAAAATTAACCATTAAATTTTTTAAAATTAAATTTGAGAGAGAGAGAGAAACATCAATTTGTTGTTCAACCTGTTTATGCATTCACTGGTTGATTCTTACATGTGCCCTGACCAGAAATCGAACTTGCAACCTTAGCATATCAGGGTGATGCTCTAATCAACTGAGCTACTGGCCAGGGCCATTAAATTTTAAATGTAAAAACTTTCTTGATTATTAAAATCAACTCATATATTAAGAAATATTATTCTGGATATGCACAATTTTTTAAAACAACAAGAAAATTATCAAACAGGAAGAATAATCACAAGATATTTAGACAGCTTTTTTCCCCAAATAGAAATCAGACTTACTTTTTCTAAGATATCATATTTTGCAACTTCAAAATCTTGAGGAAAATGAGGAATTTCAACATTCTCTGTATAAAACCTGAAATTTGTATAATTAAAATTTTAATATTAAAATTAACTATTAGACTAACCAGGATTTTTATAAAATTTTTCTTTTTTTTTTTTTTTTTTGGTACATGCCCCTAGCCACTAGAGCCCAGCAGGAACTGAACTCGGGACTCTCTGGTCCGCAGGCCGATGCTCCAACCGCTGAGCTAAACCGGCCAGGGCTATAAAATTTTTCTTGCACTTCTCCTAACTCCATTCAAAATGTATTATAAGTCCTTAATGCCTCCTTAGATATTCTAAAAATGGCTGAAAGATCTTGTGGAATGAGCTGGATTCCTCCTTTATGTAATTCTGAGTTCTGATGCCGAATACTGTGTGTCTACACTGGACGGCAGCGGGCAGAAAGGACAGACGGCCACGTTCACTCTGGCACAGACCCTTCCACACTGCATCACTCCAGACAGGCCACACCTCTCTGAACTAGTCAAGTCCCTTTGAAACAAAGGTGTCAGACTTCTCATAATCTGTACTTTTAATTTTGATATTTGTTCACTCATTTAGCACTACTATTAACAAGTAAAATAAGGCAAAATGTGATGCCTAATTGATATGCAGTCTTGATCACGCTTTAAGACGCCACGTAGAGCTTCAGACTCACATACTCCATTTTGGAAGGTTGTTATTATTTTTTAAAATATGAGGTAGAGAGTAGCAAACTATTTCTAAAGGCTGTTCAATAAGGTAACAGAGTAAATTTCCACAATATCATCTCCAGTGGTTTTTTTTCCAAATCAATGTCACAATTACATCCAATCTCATGTAATCTGAGAAGATAAAAATAATCATCACTACACTATCTGAAGTAAAAAATCTTAAATAAAAACTTATAAAGAGTTATATAAGCAACATAAATTTTAAAACTACCAAAAATACTGATGTACTAATAGCATTGTAATACTGTGTTGAGATTTATAAAACATTTCCCAAACTCTGTCTAGTCTTAATGAGCAGATGTAGATTACTTAGTAAGTTTCTCCATGTTTTCTGTCTCTGTGGCATTGTCCAGGGTTAGCGTGTCTGTTTTCACCTCTAGAATTAAAACAAACAAAACAGTTGTTAACTACTCAAAGATTTATTAAAATGGGCTAAGAATAAATGCTGGAACTGCTAAGATACTTGAACATGGTCATAGTTGCTATGCTATTCTATTCTTTTTTTTTTTTTATCCTCATTCGAGGACATTTTTCCATTTTTTGTACAGACAGAGTGGGAGGGAGAGAGAGGAAGAGAGAGAGAGGGAAACATCGATGTGAAAGGGACACATCGAGTGGCTGCCACCCGCACGACCAACCAGGCCCGGGGACAAACTGCAACCGAGGTACATGCCCTTAGCGGGAATCGAACCCGGGTCTCTCCGGACCGCAGGCGGACGCTCTAACCGCTGAGCCAAACCGGCCAGGGCCGCTATTCTATTCTTTAAGGTGTCCTGAGATTAGCTAGAGTTATTAGTGATCTAAGGACCATACAAGTGGGAAGGGAGGGTGCCAGATTAAAAGGCAGTAGAACAGATCGTTCTGATTCTGTTTTAATAGCCATGTGAGAATTCCCATGTAATCTGTATTATTTGAAACTCACTAACAGGCATACGATTTCGAATGGCATTTTTCTCTTCTGAAGATGATGGTGAGCACAGTTATGAAATGCATCTCTAACACAACACAGGATCAGAACGAGCTCCCAAGTGCCATCAGGTCACTAGACTGGCTCTAGTTCAGAGGAAGAAAACGCAGGGCTCCTCGGTGAGGCTGAGCAATGCTTGCTTCACCCTTTCCTTATAGAAGAATCGTGCCACTACAGCATTATGATAGATTGAAATAACCCTTCTTGTTTTTTCCTTTTTCAAATCCTTCCCAGAGGACATTTTTCCATTTATCTTCAAACAGAGTGGGAGGGAGGAGAAGAGAGAGAGAGAGAGAGAGAGAGAGAGAGAGAGAGAGAGAGAGAGAGAGAGAAACACCCATGTGATGTGAGAGAGACACATGGATTGGCTGCCTCCCACACGACCCGAGCAGGGCCAGGGATGAACCACAACCGAGGTACATGCCCATGACCAGAATCGAACCTGCAACTCCTCAGTCTGCAGGCTGATGCTCCATCTGCTGAGCCAAACCAACCAGGGCTGGAATAACCCTTCTAATGTGACTATTTCTTTTCAGATTTCATTACGCTATCAAGATTTCAAAAGTCATCAGTATAGCCCTGGCTGCTTTGGCTCAGCAGTTAGAGCGTCAGCCTGTGGATCAGGAAGTCATCAGTATATCTGTGGTAATTCTGAATCTGATTGTATTATTCTGGATGTTGGAAAATGTTTTCAGTGTAAAAGGAGTTTATCATTCTGCCTTTTTGTTTCATCTACCATTTTCTGAGACAGCAAGGAAGTCTGATGACAGTATTTTGGGACAAGCATTTGTCTAAAGAAGCTGAACCACACCAAAACACTTAGATGTCTAAGATTTTATAAATACAATTAATATTGTATAGGACAGTATCTAACATGTCATGGCTTTATTAGTATTTATCAGAGCTGCTTGACTATTTTTAATCCTCACCCAAGGACATGCTCATTGATTTTAGACAGAGGGGGAAGAGGAGGGAGAGAGACAGAGAGAAACATTGATGTGAGAGAGAACATCTATTGGTTGCCTTCCGCATGTGCCCCAACCAAGATCAAACCCATAATCTAGGTATGTTCCCTGATCAGAAATGGAACCCACAACCCTTTGGTATACAGGATGATGCTCCAACCAAGACACACCAGCCAGGGCAGAACTGCTTGACTTTTGATGTATCTCATGAGGAATGTATTTCTCTAGGTCCAAAGGCTTTCTTTTCCACCAGGGTTCAAAATAAAACCTGGATTTATGCTGCTTTTGGAGACATCATCTTTTTTTTTTATCCTCACCTGAGGACATTTTTCCATTTTTTGTTCAGGTAGAGTGGGAGGGAGAGAGAGGAAGAGAGAGAGAGAGAGAGAGAGAGAGAGAGAGAAACATCGACATGAAAAGTACACGTCGAGTGGCTGCTACCTGCACGACCCAACCTGGGCGGGAGACAAACTGAGGTCCGTGCCCTTAGTGGGAACTAAACCTGGGTCTCTCTGGACCACAGGTTGACGCTCTAACCGCTAAGCCAAACCAGCCAGGGCTGGAGACATCATCTTTTGCAAAAAACTTCTTTAGCCAAATGCTGGTCATATAATTTCCAGTCATTACGTTGTGATGAAAATTATTTAACAAAAAGATTCTTCCTTCTGCCAGCTGAAATTACACGTCAAGTTTTCTGAGACTATCCGTGTTTTTTTATTTTTTTTATTTTATCAATTTTTAGAGAGACAGAGGGGGGAAAGAAGAGGGAGAGAGAGAAAGAGAGATAGACAGGGAGAGATCCACTAATTTATGCATTCATTGGTTGATTCTTTTTTTTTTTTTTTTTTATATCCTCATCTGAGGACATTTTTCCATTTTCTGTTCAGATAGAGTGGGAAGGAGAGAGAGGAAGAGAGAGAGAAACATTGACGTGAAAGGGACACATCGAGTGGTTGCCACCCACACAACCCAACCAGGGCCGGGGACAAACTGCAACTGAGATACATGCCCTTAGCGGGAACCGAACCCGGGCCTCTCTGGACCGCAGGCCGACGCTCTAACTGCTGAGCCAAACCGGCCAGGGCCATTGGTTGATTCTTTATGTGTCTTGACCGGAATCAAACTTGAAACCTTGGTGTATCGGGACGACTTGGTGTATCTAACCAACTGAGCTATCCAGCCAGGGAAGACTATTAGTGTTTTCTGCAGTCATTTTGATTCTGACCACACCAGACTGGATATTGACAAATCTATGTCTATTGCTAAACTAGTCTCTGTCCTTCACTATTTTGCTGCCCATTTCCTGAGATAACGAGCTTAATTATTTTTAATTTTTTTTTCCTTTATTGATTTTTAGAGAGAGAGGAAGGGCGAGGGAGAGAGATAGAAACATCAATGAGAGAGAAAATCGATTGGCTACCTCCTGCATGCCTCCCACTGGGGATTTAGCCCACAACCTGGGCATGTTCCCTGACTAGGAATCGAACCTGTGACCTCTTGGTGCATGAGTTGATGCTTAACTGCTGAGCCACAACGACCGGGAAAACCTAATTTTTGTGTAGTATTTCTGGACCATACTTTGGTATAATATTTTTGACAAACCAAAACGTTTACTGTAGCACCTATAATACACTGAGTGCTTGATATGAAATACTTACCAGAACTGCTTGCCTCTTGACAAGGAGGTGGTGTGCTGTCCAGTGACTTGTACGGTGTGTAACTCTTTATGTCCAGCAGTCTCCTTTCTTTGATAGATTCCCGTATAAAATCCAGGTTTGCAATATGAACATGGTTCTTTTGGACCGAGTTCAGTTGGTACTGACTGAGAACATCAGCACTGTCTAAGATTACATGTGTACACTAAGAAAAAAATCAATTCATTATGTATTAGTAGAAATAAAATTTTAATGATTTTGTATCTGTAATTTTCACCCTTGAAAAGTCTTACTTTCGACAATAAAGATAAATTTTAAATAAAAAAATAAAAATTAATATTAAAATTTAAAGTTTTTTATTAATAAATTTATATTTTTATAACAGATGTTTCTCCATTTTCCCTCGTAGACACCCTCCTACTGCTCCCACCCTGCCCCCAGCATTGTTGTCTATGTCCACTGGTTATGTATATATGCATGTAAATTCTTTAGCTTATCTCTTCCCTACCCTTCACCCCCTCTTCTGAGGTTTGTCAGTCTGAATCCTACTTCTATGTCTCTGGGTCTATTTTGCTCATCAGCTTATTCTATTCATTATATTTCAGAAATAAGTGAGATCATGTGATACTTGTCTTTCTCTGACTGGCTTATTTCGCTTAGCATAATATTCTCCAGGTCTCTCCATGCCATCTCAAAGTATAAGAAATCTTTCTTTCTTACAGCTACATAGTACTCCATTGTGTATATGTACCACAGCTTTTTTATCCATTTGTCTACTGATGGACATTTGGGCTATTTCCAGATCTTAGTGATTGTAAATAGTGCTGCTATGAACATAGGGATACATATATTCTTTCTGATTGGTGTTTCAGGCCTCTTAGGATATATTTCTAGAAGTGGGATCACTGGGTCAAATGGCAATTCTATTTTTAATTTGTTTTAATTTTTAATTTAATTTAATTTTTAATTTTTTCAAGGTAATTTATAACAATTTTTCTCAGATTTCTAAAACTCTCATAAGTAATACAATTTCTTGTTAAAGTTTAAAAAATCAACAGTTTTAAAGAGTATGAATATGGATGTATCATAATTAATTAACCAGTTCTAGAGGTTGTTTCCAAGTTTTCACTCATCTAAAAAATGTTGAGTTGTTTTTTCCTTAGGAGAGGAATAAGAGGTTTAAAGGGTATTAATTGTTATTTATTTTAATTCGTTAATTTGCAATTTTATTCACTTATTTTTAAATAAGTAATGTGTGGGAGGAATCGAAAAATGGCGGCGGAGTGAACGGAAGCTACACAGACCGTCTCCCAGAACCAAATTGGAATTACAACTATAACACAGACAAATCGACGGGAAAAAGCAACAGAAAAGCAGCTTGGAGGACCATACAACGAGGGACACTGACTCCATCCCGGTAGGCTTGCGAAGGCGCGAGACGGGGGCTGGGAGTCCACGGTCCGCAGCTCGGCAGCGGCCTTAGCTGGGAGCAGTGCCCTCGGGTCACACTCCCAGGCGGCTCCACAGCGCAGCCGGGACAGAGGCTGAAACAGCCACAGCCACTCACCTTGGGCTCTGGCAGAGGGAGGGCGGACTGGACTGGAACTGTGGGGGACACTTGGGGTTTGTAGGGCACTCAGAGCGTTTGCTGAGTGCCAGCCACGCAGGACGGTGGCCACATTGCTCCTTCCCAGGGCTCTGAGGAGAGGCAGCAGCCCCTGGCTCGGAGATCCAACCCCACCCTGTGGGCCATTGAAGTGCTAATTGAGGCTCATTAACAACCAGCATCTGCCCCACCCTTGTGAAAGCCCCTTGTGCTGAGCACCTGAGGGAGTTTTTCAATCAACTGACAACCCAAAATTCATCAAGTAACCTCACTGCTAGCCTCCAGGCAAAAAGCTAGAGGATAACAGTACCTTTCCTGGGCTGGCAACTTTAACCAGGAAAGTAAGACTTGACAGTGGTGTTTAACGTGGGTTCTCCCTCGCTCATCTAAACATAGGAGAGGGAGCCACAAACGGCAGAACACCAACACCCACAGGGAAAACTTGACAGGCTCCAAAGCCCACAGTGATAGCCAAGATGGTGAAACACAGAAACAGAAGCCAAATGAAAGAGCAAGAGACTTCCACTGAAGATGAGATCAATGTGGAGCAATTAGGCATGTTAACAGAGCTAGAATTCAGAGCCATGATCTTGAGGAAGCTGAATAGCATGAGTAAGGACATAGAGACACTGAAAATAAGCCAACTGGAAATTAAAAACCATCAAGAAGAGATAAAAAATGACATATCAGAAATGAAAAACACATTGGAAGGTTTAAAAAGCAGAGTAGAGGAAGCTGAGGACCGGATCAGTGAATTAGAAGACAGGGTAGAAAACATCAACCAATCAGAAAAACAAAAGGAAAAAACTATTAAAAAACAGGAAGACAGCTTAAGAGAACTGTGGGACAACTGAAAACGTAATAATATTCGCATCATAGGAGTCCTTGAAGAAGAAGAAAATGAGCAAGGGATAGAGAATATATTCAAAAAAATAGTGACAGAAAACTTCCCTAATTTGGTGAAGGAAGAAGGCATTCAAGTTCAAGAAGCACAGAGAGTCCCAAGTAAGAAGAACTCAAACAGGCCCACACCAAGACACATAGTAATTAAAATGCCACAAATTAAAGACAAAGAGACAATCCTAAAAGCAGCAAGAGATAAGCAACAGGTTACCTACAAAGGAACCCCAATAAGGCTCTCAGCTGACTTCTCACAAGAAACACTACAGGCCAGAAGGGAACGGCATGAAGTAATCAAAGTCATTTAAAACAAGAATCAGAATCCAAGACTACTCTACCCAGCAAGGCTATCATTCAAAATAGAAGGTCAAATAAAGAGCTTCCCAGACAAAAAAAGGCTAAGGGAATACATTAGCACCAATCCAGCACTGCAAGAAATGTTAAAAGGACTGCTGTAATTAGCAGTAGAAATGGGAAGAAAAATAGAACCAGACTAAACAAAAATGGCAATAAATAAGTACATATCAATAATCACCTTAAATGTAAATGGATTGAATGCTCCCATAAAAAGAGACAGAGTAGCTGATTGGATAAGAAAGCATGACTCATCTATATGTTGTTTGCAAGAGACCCACCTCACAACAAAAGACTCACATAGGTTGAAAGTGAAGGGGTGGAAAAAAAATTTCCAAGCAAATGGAAAGCAAAAAAAAGCTGGGGTAGTAATTGTCATATCTGATAAAATAGATTTCAAAATGAAGACCATAACTAGAGACAAAGATGGCCACTACATAATATTGAAAGGATCTATCCAACAAGAAGATATAACCTTGATAAACATATATGCACCCAGTATAGGAGCACCAAAATATATTAAAAATCTTCTGGAGGACTTCCAAGGAGAAATCGACAACAATACAATCATAGCAGGGGACTTCAACACCCTGTTGACAGCACTGGATAGAACCTCTAGGCAAAAAATTAGCAAGGAAACAGAGACTCTAAATGAAGCACTAGACCAAATGGATTTAATAGATATCTACAGAGAATTACACGCCAAAACTACAAAATACACCGTCTTCTCAAGTGCACATGGGACATTCTCAAAGATAGACCACATGATAGGACACAAACGAAATCTCTACAAGTTTAAGAAGATTGAAATCATATCAAGCATCTTCTCAGATCATAATGGCATGAAACTAGAAAACAATTGCAACAAGAACATGCAAAGACATTTCAACGCATGGAAGCTAAATAGCATGTTATTAAACAATGAATGGGTCACCAAGGAGATCAAGGAAGAAATTAAAAACTTCTTGGAAACCAATGAAAATGAACACACAAAAACACAAAATTTATGGGATGCAGCAAAAGCAGTTCTGAGAGGGAAGTTCATAGCACTACAGGCCTACCTCAAAAAACAAGAAAAATTTCTAATTGACTGTCTAACCTCACAACTTAAAGAATTAGAAATAAAAAAAAAAAAAAAAGAAAACCCCAGAGCAAGTAGAAGGAAGGAAATAGTAAAGATCAGAGCAGAAATAAATGACATAGAGACCAAAAAAAAAAAACCAATTCAAAAGATCAATGAAACAAAGAGCTGGTATTTTGTAAAGATAAACAAGATTCATGGACCCTTAGCTAGACTCACCAAGAAACAAAGACAGGGAACCCAAATACACAAAATCAGGAATGAAAGAGGAGAAGTAACAACCAACACCACGGAAATACAAAAGATCGTTAACAACTACTATGAACAATTATATGGCAACAAATTCGACAATCTCAGTGAAATAGACAAATTTCTAGAAGCACACAGGCTCCCGAAACTGGGCCCCGAAGAGAGAAAACTTGAACAGACCAATAACAACTAAGGAAATTGAAGAGGTAACCAAGACTCTCCCAGCAAACAAAAGCCCCGGCCCAGATGGCTTCACGGGGGAGTTTTACCGAACATTCAAAAAAGAACTAACACCCATTCTCCTCAAACTATTTCAAAAAATTCAAGGAGAAGGAAGACTTCTAAACACGTTGTATGAGGCCAGCATAATTTTAATTCCAAAACCAGAAAAAGACACTACGAAGAAAGAAAACTACAGGCCAATATCCCTGATGAACATAGACGCCAAAATCCTGAACAAAATATTAGCAAATCGGATCCAGAAATACATCAAAAAAATTATTCACCATGACCAAGTGGGATTCATTCCAGGGATGCAAAGCTGGTACAGAATTCGCAAATCAATAAACGTGATACACCACATAAACAAAATGAAGAATAAAAACCACATGATCATATCAATAGATGCTGAAAAAGCATTCGACGATATCCAGCATCCATTTCTGATAAAAACGCTCAGCAATGTGGGAATAGAGGGATCATATCTTGACATAATAAAGGCCATATATGAAAGACCTACAGCCAACATCATACTCAATGGACAGAAACTAAAAACATTTCCATTAAGAACAGGAACAACACAGGGATGTCCACTTTCACCACTCTTATTTAACATTGTAATGGAAGTCTTAGCAACAGCAATCAGACATGAAGAAAAAATCAAAGGGATCCAAATTGGAAAGGAGGAAGTGAAACTGTCATTATTTGCAGATGACATGATATTATACATAGAAAACCCTAAGGACTCCATCAAAAATGTACTAGACTTAATAAATGAATTTGGCGAAGTAGCAGGATACAAAATTAACGTCAAGAAATTGACGGCATTTTTGTACACCAATGATGAACTCACAGAAAGAGAAACTGAAAAAACAATCCCATTTACCATCGCTCCAAAAAAATTAAGATACCTAGGAATAAACTTAACCAAAGAAGTAAAGGACCTATTTGCAGAAAACTACAGGTCATTGAAAAAAGAAATAGAGGAAGATATAAAAAAGTGGAAGCACATACCCTGTTCATGGATTGGAAGAATTAACATCATTAAAATGTCCATACTACCCAAAGCAATCTATAGATTCAATGCAATCCCCATCAAAATACCAACGACATATTTCATAGAACTAGAACAAATACTTCAAAAGTTCATATGGAACCAAAAGAGACCCCGAATAGCCACAGCAATCTTGAAAAAGAAGAACAAAGTAGGTGGGATCACAATACCAGATATCAGGTTATACTACAAAGCGACTGTACCAAAACAGCCTGGTACTGGCACAAGAACAGGCATATAGACCAGTGGAACAGAACTGAAAACCCAGAAATGGACCCAAAGCAATATGCTCAATTAATATTTGACAAAGGTGGCAAGAGCATACAGTGGAGTAAAGACAGCCTCTTTAATAAATGGTGTTGGGGAAATTGGACAGCTACATGCAAAAAAATGAAACTAGAGCATCAACTTACACCATACACAAAAATAAACTCGAAATGGATAAAAGACTTAAATGTGACCCGTGAATCCATAAAAATTCTAGAAGAAAATGTAGGCAACAAAATTTCGGACATCATACGGAGCAGAATTTTCATTGATACATCACCTAAGGCAACAGAAACAAAGGAAAAAATGAACACATGGGACTACATCAAACTAAAAAGCTTCTGCACAGCAAAAGAAACAATCTTCAAAATGGAAAGGCAACCCACTGTATGGGAGAACATCATTGCCAATGATACATCAGATAAGGGATTAATTTCCAATATATATAGAGTGCTCATACAACTCCACAAAAGGAAGACAAAGAACCCAATTAAAACATGGGCAGAGGAGCTGAACAGACACCTCTCCAAACAGGACATACAAATGGCCAAGAGACATATGAAGAAATGCTCAACATCACTAATCATCAGAGAGATGCAAATTAAAACAACAATGAGGTATCACCTCATGCCAGTCAAAATGGCCGCCACCAACAAATCATCAAACAACAAGTGTTGGCGAGGGTGTGGAGAAAAGGGGACTCTAATACACTGCTGGTGGGAATGCAGACTGGTGCAGCCGCTATGGAAAACAGTATGGTGTTACCTCAAAAAATTAAAAATTGAACTTCCATTTGACCCAGTAATCCCACTTCTAGGAATATACCCTAAGAAGCCTGAAACACCAATCAGGAAGAATATATGTACCCCCATCTTTGTAGCAGCACTATTTACAATAGCGAAGATCTGGTAACAGCCTAAGTGTCCATCAGTAGACGAATGGATTAAAAAGCTGTGGTACATATACACAATGGAGTACTATGCAGCGGTAAGAAAGAAAGATGTCTTATCCTTTATACGACATGGACGGACCTGGAAAGTATTATCCTAAGTGAAATAAGCCAAGAAGAAAAAGATAAATACCACATGATCTCACTTACATACGGAGTATAATGAACATAACAGTCTGAGGAATACAGTAGACCTAGAAACATGGAAGTAGGGCACAGACTGACATTCCTCAGAAGAGGTGGTGGGGAGTGGGAAGAGATAAACCACAGAACTTATATGCATGTATGCATGACCAATGGACATGGACAACTATGCCGGGGATGGGGATGGGGGGAGGTGGGGAGGGGGGTGCCAATGGGGTAAAAAAGGTGAAATATCTGTAACAAAAAAAATAAAGAAAATTTTTTTTAAAAAAAAGAAAGAAAAAAGAAATAGAGGAAGATATAAAATAGTGGAAGCACATACCCTGTTCATGGATTGGGAGAATTAACATCATTAAAATGTCCGTATTACCCAAAGCAATCTATAGATTCAACACAATCCCTATCAAAATACCAATGGCATACTTCACAGAATTAGAACAATTATTTCAAAAGTTCATATGGAACCAAAAAAGTCCTCGAATAGCCGGGGACGGAGCGGGGGTGGGTTGGGGAGGGGTCTGCCAATGGGGTAAAAAAGGTAAAATATCTGTAACAAAAAAATAAATAAATAATTAAAAAAAAAAAAAAGAAGAAAGAAAATTAAAATCTCTTTGGAGATCAAGGAAAAAAAAAAAGAAATAGTTTGTCATGAACTTGACAATAAATTTCACAGCTGGATGAAAAAAAAATAAGTAGTGTATGTATATTGTAGAATATCTAAAAACTAAAGTTATATTGATAAATTAGTTTATTCCCCACCATTTCTCCAGGTTTCTCTCCCCAGAGGCACCTGCTGTAACCTGTGCTCAGGTATCCTTCCAGAGCTATTCTATGTGTACAACACACACACAAGTACATAGCCCTCTTTGTAGCCACAGATGGCAGCATACTCAACACACTGCTTTTCCACTTGACAAATTACTTTGGAGATTATTCCTCATCATTAGATGTTGTGCTACCTCCTCCATTACAGTGGCTGTTATGTGCATTTCAAATGCTTATAGACACTGGGAAAACACCTACTGAGAGGCTGCAGTCCTGTGTGTGAGATTCTAACAGTGAGACCCGTGTTGCATTCTCTATGCAGAAGGCAAACTGAGAGGATATAAGAGGCATGGATTATTCATCACCCACAGAAATGGTGAGACAGGGCAGTGCCTGACCTGGAGGAAACAGGGCCGTTCTGTTTCTGATTCTCATGGGTAAACTACCAAATGCCAGAGCAACACCCAGCATCCAAGCTGGAGCTGCCCGTGCTTCACAGAGCAAACCCAGCGTTCGTGGGCAAGCCCAGGGCTGTGGGCCAGGAAGGGGCAATCCCATCAACCAGGCAACACAGGGAAGAGCATGCACAAGGCAGGCCCTGCACTTGCAAGCCTGGCACCTAACGACCTTGAACTTCAATTTTTTTTTTTTTTTTTTTTTTTTTTTTTTTTTTGTTATCCTCACCCGAGGATATTTTTCCACTTTTTGTACAGATAGAGTGGGAGGGAGAGAGAGGAAGGGAGAGAGAGAGAGAAACATCGACGTGAAGGGACACATCGAGTGGCTGCCACCCGCACGACCAACCAGGGCCGGGGACAAACTGCAACCGAGGTACATGCCCCTAGCGGGAACCGAACCCGGGTCTCTCCAGACCGCAGGCCGACGCTCTAACCGCTGAGCCAAACTGGCCAGGGCTTGAACTTCAATTTTTACTTCATATGATGAGGTGATTAAAACAGAGCAGGGTAACCTTCATTATATTCGAGATTTCATCCAGCTGTGAAATTTTATATCTACATTTCATTTCAAGAGAGGAGATGGCTTCTTTCTACCTTTACATAAACAAACAGTACACACATCAGTTTATAGTGTGTGGTTTATTCTGTCCTACAGGAGCCACCCTTACAGGTGTCACTCCAGTGCTGACAGACTGGTGACTAGAGTGCTTTTGGCAAATGCGGCACATTCTAACTTTTCTCCTTCAAAAACAGATTTGGATGGCCCTTGCCAGTGTTACCCAGTGGTCAGAGCCTCAGCCCTCGTACCAAAGTGTCGTGCGTTCAATTCCCAGTCATGGGCATGTACCTGGGTTGCAGGTTCGGTCCCTGGCCCCAGTCGGGGCACATTGGGGAGGCAACCAAATGATGTGTGTCTCTCACACTGATGTTTCTATTTCTCTCTTTCTCCACCTTCCTCCCTCCCTTCTACTTTCTCTAAAAATTCATGGAAAAAATATCCTCCCGTGGGGATTTTTTTTAAAAGAAAAGATTTGGCTGGTCTGGTGTTACTTCTATCAATGTCCCCAATTGTGCTCTAAGGATATCAGATTCACAGGGCAGCAGGATTGTCCCACATCTCACAGGAACGGGAGCAGATGGGACTAGGTGGCCTTCCCTCCCCCGGGTCTCCCCAGCCCAGGTTCCCTGTGGCAATGTCACCTCCCTGCCTTCACTGACTTCCCTGCTGCCAGTTTCCTAGCTCGCTCTCCTCACCCGGACCTGCGCTTCCTCAGGCACAGCTGTCTAGCACAGAAGAATTCTCAGGAAATTTGCAGATACCTGAGGATTTAATGAAAGGGAAACATTTCCACCATTTTCCTTAATGTCAGTTTGTAGCTTTTTCTTCTGTTGACGACCTAAGTGCTTGACTTTCAGATAGAAAGTACAATTTGCAAAGACTCCCACAGTCATCCTGTAAGGAAAAGAAGTTTCAAGTCATAACTTTTACGGATTTTATTTTCAGTGAATATAAATGACAGTGACTTTAGAATTGTTCTACAAACTATGGGAAAAGTTGGGCATTTTTTTTTAAGAAAGATACTGCAATCATACTATAATCACAAAAGCTGGATATTACTCAAGTTTGCAATATGTATGTTGGTTTTAGAATCATTTGTAGCTTTTATGGTTGCTATTGTAACACCCAAAAATCCTTTTGTATAGACTCATATTATACATTTTAAAGAAAACATGACAGATTTCAGTTACAGATCAAATGTGATTTAGGAATATAGCAGCATTGCCCTAGCTGGGTAGCTCAGTTGGTTAGAGCGTCTTCCCAGTCCACCAAGGTTGTGGTTTCAATCCCGGGTCAGGGCACAGACAAGAATCAACCAGCAAAAGCAAGAATAGGTGGAACAACAAATCAATGTCTCTCTCTTGCTTTTCCAAACTCTCTCTAATCAATAAATAAAGATTTTTGTAACAGAATATAGAAGCATTAATTTCTAAATTAAAAAGTAACATTATGTGATAGTGAAACCATGGATTTTTATATATATCTTCTATAAATTCAAAGAGACTGATCAGTTACATGGGTTTCTGTTAAGCCATTCTACAGGTAAATTAAACAGTTAGTAATAAAAACATACAATCGATGTTTAAATGGAAGTTAATTTAATTTCCTTTACATTTCCACATATAGAAAAGAATTACTTTTAAGAAAAATGGAAAGCTCTGGCCGGTTTGGCTCAGCAGTTAGAGCGTCAGCCTGCGGTCCAGGGAGACCCAGGTTCGGTTCCTGCTAAGGGCACGTACCTTGGTTGCAGTTTGTCACCGGCCCTGATTGGGTCATGCGGGTGGCAACCATTCGATGTGTCCCTGTCACGTCAATGTTTCTCTCTCTCTCTCTCTCTCTCTCTCTCTCTTTCTCTCTTCCTCTCTCTCCCTCCCACTCTATCTGAACAAAAAACGAAAAAAATGTCCTCTGGTGAGGATAAAAAAAGAAAAATGGAAAGAAATATTGTGTGTATTTTACAACAAACTAATAAGCAGTGAGATACTGGGTTTAATTCACAGTAGCTGTCAATTTTTAAAAAATGAAGTCAATTCTAACAGATGAGCTTCGGTAAAAAGTGGTTCCTGGGTCTGATGTTCCTTTAAGGAAGGTCAGCTGGTAGGTTCCTTGCAGGGTGGCTGGGCCTGCCATCTCCAAGGGTGCATACCAGGCAGGACATGGTTAGGGTCTTGTTCCTCCTGCTCCCCCCACCCCAAATGTCCTGTTCTCCCAAACTGACCTGAGCCCCCTACTCTAGTCCCTTTACCTGAGCAATGGTGCCCATTCCTTAAGGTCCTAAATGCCATCTATATGCAGACAACCTGAACAAAATGCCCACTGCCTCCCAAATGCCCACATATCAGACGTGCCAGGTCCCCAGTGTAGGCCTCTCCCTGTTACCCTCTTGGCAGGTGGCTGCTGTGTCCTGCTGGCTACGCAAGCCACTGGATGTTACCCTTGATTTCGCCCCATTTGAGGGTAACCCTTCAGCCATCAGCATCTTGTCATCACTGCCACTAAATATAGCCAGAATCTATCCACATCCTCCATCTCCAATGCCACTGGGGCCCATGCCCCATCAGTAGAGTCCTGACTCCTCTCCCCACCTCTCTCCTCTCTGCCTCTAATCTCTTCTCCATACTATAGCTTTGTTACTAGAAGGTGGACCTGGCCCTGAGCAGGTCTGCCTAGGGGTAGCTGGTAGTGTGTGAGTTCTTGACTTAGTGCAGGAAAAATTTCACCACACGAGTCCAGGTGAAATTTATAGGACATTTATTAAAGCTGGGGACAATGAACCAAGGAAGGTCTGGGGATTTGAGCCTAGGCTGGTCTGCTTCGGCTCACTAAGAACTCAGAGAAAAGGGGGCCTTGGGGACAGGTTCAGGGGGTTGCCCAGAGTGAACTGACACTGCCATTGCTGCCCTGTTTGTAAAGCATCGTGGGTCCCTTAGAGTTTAGGAGATTCAAACTTGCCGAGGAGAAGAGAGCATGCTGGGTCCTTTGTCTTGAGGTTCCCTTGCCCGATCCCCTCCTTATGGGTCAGGAGAGGTCTCAGGGGAGGGTTTCAACAGAATATTCATCAGTTTTCTAGGTGTGCCCCTTCAGGGTCCTGGCCTTCACTGGTTGGTCAGTGTCAGGGCAGGGGGTTCCTTAGTCATTGCAGCTGGTCCTGGTGTTGCCCACCTGATTTTGCTGCTGAGACCTAGATGTTATTTCTAGGGAGGTGACCTTCTGAATCTGCTGTAAATTACTCTATCTGTTAAGCTCTCTGTCTCAGATTCCCTATTCCACTTGTCCTGGCTTACTGGCCTGCAGGGCTGTGCCTTGTTGACCTTTATATCCCTAGACTCTAGGGTACACAATAGGCATTCCGTAAATGCTTGCTTACTGAAAACACCTCCATCCATTAAAGCCAACGATTACAGAAGAGCCTCTGACACTATTTGCATACTTGGACTCAAATAACATCAGCGCTGCACCTCCCTAATGGGTCTATTGAACCTGGAAAAGAGAGGCCACCCAACATGGTGATGCTCCAACTCCGGTGGCATGTCAGCTCTGAGCACACAGACGGCTCACTGAATACGGATCCAGTCAGCGCACAGAAAGGATCTGCAACATGCACACATTCGGAGTGAATTTCTCCTTTATTTTAACGCTACATCTTACAGATCTCCATGTTACAGTCCTTTTGCAACCCAGAGCGTAAAGGCTGAACACTGGGTAGCGCCCTATTTTTCTAGAGCCTGCGATTTAATGACTCAGCTCCGCAGGAATCATCAAACTCATTTTCAGGTTTTCGACTTTGGACTTCAACTGACTGTAAGTGTTATATCACGCACGATGTTCCCTTATCATTCACCAACGTCCCGAACTGTTTGCAAAAGTTTGCTTTGCAACCCAACTTTCAGAAGACAGAGGCGGCCTTTGGCACTCAGAAATGCGGAAGGCAGAACCCCAGTGCGACGTGCTCCCCCACTGGCTCCTTGCGGTAGACGAGGCCCTGAGTGCCGCGCCCAGGCGGTCCCACTGCGTCCCTCTCCCGACCCGCGGCCCGCGAGTGCACCCGGCTAACGCCAAGGAGGACGAAGAATACCCCGCAGTGCCCACGCACCTGCCAGAGGATCCCGCTGCTCCCTGTGCCTCCGTATTCTGGGCTCTCAGCTCCCGGCGCCTCCCAGCTCCGAGCTCCGGACTCCCCTGGGCGCTGACCTGGGGCAGGAGCCCAAGAGGACGCCGCAGCCCCGCCCCCGCCGTCTCCAGGCCCGGTGGCACCCTCTGCTCCCTGCCGCCAAGTCCCAGCTGCGCAGGCGTGCTTTCTTTTCCCGGACCAGCCTCAGGGTTAGAATAGGTTGTTTCATCTTTCAGGTGGGATTTGGCCATTGAGGGGTGACTCCAAATTTGGAGTTTGGGGCCTGTGGGTGTATGGGCTGCCATTTAACTGAGAAATGAGGGTGGTTCCCGGGACCTGGAAACAAGCAAATTTCGGGAGGGATTGGAGAAATGAAACAGGAGGGTAAGTTAATGAATTTAGTTTGGGACTTCCTGAGTCTAAAGTTCTTGGTAGTGTTAATAAGTAGTTAGAAAATACAGATCTGCCCTTCCAGAGAGGTGAGGCTGGAATACAATTTCCCAGAAATGAAGAAAAGAATGGAAAAGATGTAGAAAATTTAGGAATCCATACTCTACTACAGGCATACCTCAGTGATTTTGCAGGTTGGGTTCTGGACCACTTCAATAAAGCCAGTCTTATAGTAGAGCCAGTCACATGAATTTCTTGGTTTCCCAGTGCATGTAAGTTATGTTACAGCCCTGGCGGGTTTGGCTCAGCAGTTAGAGCATTGGCCGCCTGACCGAGACTTCCCGCTAAGGGCAGGAAGCTCGGTTGCAGTTTGCCACCCTGCCAGGTTAGGGTCCTGCGGGTGGCAACCATTATATGTGCCTCTCTCCAATAGATGTGTGTCTCTCTCTTTTCCTCCCTCCTGCTCTATCTAAAAGATAAATGAAAAAAAAAATAAAGTGTGGCCTACTGCCTTTCCCCCCCCTTTACTAAGTCACACTCAGTCAAAGCAGAAAACAATGAAAAGCCCAGCCTCCCAAACGGGCCCAGGGAAGCAAAAGGCCCCTCCCCCACCCCTCTATAAGTGTCCTCCATGTGATTGCTCCGCCTCCGCCACCCTGCGGGTTTCTCCTCCAGTCTGGACCCTCGTCTAGTTTTCATAGGGGAGGGGCGTCCGATCTACGCCCAAGTTCACTCTAGGAACCGCTGTCCCTACGCCCCGTGGCCTGTGCAGCCCGGGGGACGTGGCCCCGTGCGGAATCCCCAGGTGTCGTGCCCGCTGTGATGTCTCCGGGAAAGGGCCTGGCGGCGCCGCGCGCAGGCGCAGAGGGGCCTGTGGGCACTCCATTTCCCAGGGGCCTTGGTTCAGGGGCGGACTCCGCCCGGAGGCGGGGTTGTGGCGGCTCCGCCTCGAGTCTGCGTAGACTGAGGCCGTGACGCCGAGCGCTAATATTTGGGCGAAGGGAGCGGGACCCGGGTCTTGGGGTCTGACGCTCTGCTCCCAGAGGGCCTGCGACGCGCAGGAGGACCCGCTTCGCCCGGGGCGCCGCGTCGGGGGGCGGCCCACACCTGCTCCAGGTTGACAGGTGTCGGGAGCCTCCGCGGGCTCCCGCCGAGGTCTCGGCCGTGCTCCGAGCAGCTGGCACCCGCGGGGACGCAGCCTGTCGGCGGGAGCGTGTGGAGCGGCGTTGCTCTCCCCCGCCAGGGCCCCTCGGTCCCTGTGCCCGGCCTCGTCTTTGCCGCTCTGCCAGGACCCGGGCTGCCTGCCCAGGGGTGCGATTCGGGGCACTGAGGAATCGGCGCTTCTCCACCGTCTGAGGGTGGTTTTCAGTGAACCGTGCCCGCTTTCCCCTGCTTCGGAAAACGGGGCACAGGTATTTTATTTTTAACATCTCCAGAAAAGTCACATTCACTATTTTACGTGAACGTTGCGGAGCTTGAAGAGAACGGTGTCGTCGTGTCTCGCACTGGAAGGTGACAGTGATTTCTGCCTTCCCAAACCTCGTCCTCTGCGGAGCCAGGCCAGTGCGGAAGGCGCTGAATTGTAAGATCTTCGGTTTATCCTGTTGAATATTCACGGTACTGACATAAATCCCTTCAGATAAATGTGGATTTAATGCTTGCCATATTCTAGCATACTTGCAAAGTCTTTCCCACAAACATGAGGAAAAATTTTAGTATGTTCAATAGCAACTTGCCTGTTCACACTTGTTCGGCGGCTCCTGGGAAAACCACATACTTGAACCAGGAAGAATTTTTTACATTTGTCAAAGGTAATTGTGCTAGAGGGGCCGTACTGTCCATGTTGTCCATTGTTGCACTAGTCACTTAATTTACATGCACGTTCATTTACCGCGTGGCAGTGCGGGTCTTCTGGATCATTTATTTCATGTTCACAGAACTGACACAAATACTGTTCATCACATTTGGGAGCACAGGTGTTTTCAGTGTGTCATACAATGCAATGAAGTGGCAAGGGAAACTGCAGTCTCATTTTTGTTGTTGGTTTTTGTTTTGTTTTTTTATCCTCACCTGAGGACATTTTTTCGTTTTTTGTTCAGATAGAGTTGGAGGGAGAGAGAGGAAGAGAGAGAGAAACATCACGTGAAAGGGACACATTGAGTGGCTGCCACCCGCACGACCCAACCAGGGCAGGGGACACAGTGCAACCGAGGTACGTGCCCTTAGTGGGCACCGAACCCGGGTCTCTCTGGACCGCAGGCCGATGCTCTAACCGCTGAGCCAAACCAGCCAGGGCTGCAGTCTCATTTTTAAAGTCCCACTAAATCCCTGCGGGTGTGGTTCAGTGGATTGAGCATCATCCCAGGGACTGAGAGGTCTGGGTTCAATTCCCATCAGGGCACGTGCCCGGGTTGTGGGCTCCATCCCCAGTAGGGGGCGTGCAGGAGGCAGCCAATGATGTTTCTCTCTCATATTGGTTTCTCTCTCCCTTCCTCTCTCTGAAAAATCAATAAAAACATTTAAAAAACGAAAATAAATTAAATCCATATTTTTGACTGAATAAAATGGCACTGTCTATCTTAGTTCTTCAGTCACATTAACCACACTTCAAGTGCTCAGTAACTATAGTGACTTGTGGCTACCATATTGGACTGCACAGGTGTATGTAATTCCGTTTTTTCTTTCTCTCTAATACAGTGCTCTGCATTTTGTTTTGTGAGCTAACAGTATATATTCCGTTGGGTATATTCAGTACTTCCATATCAGCACTTAATGAACTTATTTGTTCTCTTTAATGACTGCTTAATATGAATACCATAATTAGCTGGGCCCCTGTTAATGGGCGTTTAAGTTAATTTTAGTTACAAACGTGAACTTGTGCCAATATAGCCCAAAATGCCTAAATGTGAAATTGCTGAGTCAAAATTTTGCATTTACAGTTTGGAGAGAGATTGTCAGATTGCCTCCAAAAAGTTGTACCAGTTTACCTTCCCAGGTAATACTTTATAAAGGAGTTTCCCCTTTCTATACTGTACTGAGTATTATCAGGTTTGTAGTCTTTGCCAACCGAATATGTGAAAAATGGTATGTTGTTACTGTTTCAATTTCCATTCAATCAAGTGAAAATGAAGATATTTTAATGTTTGGGCCTCTGTATTTTTCTGTTTATATCTTTTGTATGTTTATGTTTTTCAGACAGTAGGTATGAGGCTAAATACATGTTTGTTGTCTCCCAATTGCCACTTTTCGTTTCCCTTTGGTTTATATATATTTTGTTGTATTATATTGATTAAGTCTAGAATTATGTATGAAAAATAGTGGGAGATGTCATTCCATTTTGATGCTAGATCTCTCAGCTGCCCTCTCAAAGACATGGCTATGGCAGGTCTCCCCTCTCTCCATTGTCATCAGCCTACAAACATGCTTTTCTTTTTTCTTTTTTTAATCTTCATTTGAAGATATATTTATAAGGATGCTCAATGAACTTAGTGAGAACCTCAGTGAACTTAGGGAGGGCCTCAAGAGCATAAAAAAGGACCAGTTAGAAATCATGGATACACAGTTAGAATTAAAGGAGGCATTAACTGAAATAAAGAATAATTTACACAGCTTCAATAATAGAGTATGTAAATCCAAGGAGCAAACCATCGATTTGGAATATAAGGAAGCAAAAAATCCCCAATCAGAACAGCAAAAAGAAAAAAGAATCCAAAAAAATGAGGATAGTGTAAGGAGCCTCTGGGACAACTTCAAGCGTGCCAACATTCGCATCTTGGGGGTACCCGAAGGAGAAGAGAGAGAACAAGAAATCAAAAACCTGTTTGAAACAATAATGGCAGAAAATTTTCCTAACTTGGTGAAGGAAACAGACATACAAGTCCAGGAAGCAGAGAGAGTCCCAAACAAGATGAACCCCAAGAGGCCCACACCAAGACACATCATCATCAAAATGCAAAAGGTTCAAGACAAAGAGGGAATCTTAAAAGCAGCAAGAGAAAGGCAGCTAGTTACCTACAAGGGAGTACCCATTAGGCTGTCAGCTGATTTCTCAAAAGAAACTTTGCAGGCCAGAAAGGAGTGGCAAGAAATATTCAGAGTGATGAAAACCAAGAACCTACAACCAAAATTACTCTATCCTGCAAAGCTGTCATTTAGAATTGATGGACATATAAAAACTTTCCCTGACAAGAAAAAGTTAAAGGAGTTCATCACTACCAAACCGTTATTATATGAAATGATGAAGGGTCTTTTTGAAGAAAAAGATAAAATGTATGAACAAACAAAATGGCAATGAATACATATCTGTCAACAATGGAATCTACAAACAAAATGAACAGGAAGAACAGAAACATTCTCATAGATACAGAGAACATTTTGTTGGTTGCCAGTTGGGAAGGGGGTTGGGGGAATGGGTGAAAAAGGTGAAGGGATTAAGAAGCACAAATTCATTGCTAGACTGACAAACCTCAAAGGGAAAGGGGTTGGGGGGGTGGGAAGAAATAAACCAAAGAACTTATATGCATAACCAATGGACAGAGACAATAGTGTGGGAAAAGGTGGGAGGGGGGCAGGAGTGGGGAGGAGGGGGTCAATGGGGGAAAAATGTGGAACATCTGTAATACATTTTACATCCAACAATAAAGATTTGAAAAAAAATATCCTAAATTTATCTATGATCTCTCCCCCAAACTTGTTTCATCCCAGTTTTCTCCATTTCAGTTAATGGCAACTCTGTTCTTTCAGTTGCTCAGCCAGGAAACTAAAGAATAAAGGGGAGAATCCGAGTGACATCTGGATGTTTCATAGACTGTAAAGGAGCAGTAGTGAGTCATATAGTTTGATCATGTGAGGTTCAAAATTGGGTGCTTTTAAAAAAAATTGCTGATTATTGGAGAGAGGAAGGAGTGGGGGAGACAGAAAGAGAAAGAGAAACATTAATTTGTTGTTCTACTTATTTATGCATTCATTGATTGCTTCCTGTATGTGCCTTGACCGGAGATTGAACCCTCAGTATTGTTAAGCATCCTTTTAAATTAATAAATGTGTACACAATGAACTATTTTTGAAATATATTTTAAAGTTATATAAGAAATAGGTTACTTTAAAAGTTAATCTGAGGTCTACAGATGGACTTCAGAAGGCTTTTTTCCTAAATCCTGTAGAGTACTGTGTATATATAGAATGGGATTGTAGCTTTCATTAAATTTTCAAAGGGGGAGGTACTCCATTACCAAGGGACAGACAAGTAGCCTGCAGCATTTGCTCAGTTGTGATGAGATTGCCTCTCAATCCAAACCTTTCCTCAATAGATTAACAAGAAAGCCAGTAAC